ATAATTTAGCTTTCTATGACAAGTGGTTAACCAGAACAGTGGGTTTTCAACAACTTTCACCAAAAATCAGGGAAAATCAATACTTTCTCCATTTTTACCAGCTTACGCCATATTTTTGACTTTCATTATGTTGAACATAAACATGAGTATTGTCATCAGTTTGATACATAATTTAGCTTTCTATGACAAGTGGCCAGCATTTTTGTGAATTTTTACCAAAAATCGGAAAGATTTTTATTTTCTCTATTTTTGCCAACTTTTTGACTAAGACTTACATTATATTGAATATAAACATGATTCTTGACATCAGTGTGGTACATAATTAAGTTATTTATAACAAGTGGTTTACGAGATAGCATATTTTGTGATTTTTTTTTACCAAAAATAAGTGAAAATTACTATTTTCTCTATTTTTGCCAACTTACACTATGTTTTTGACTAAGACTTTCATTATGTCGAATATAAACATGACTCTTGCCATCAGTTTGATATATAATTTAGCTCTTTATGACAAGTGGTTTTCGAGATAGCATTTTTGTGTGATTTTATACCAAAAATGAGTAAAAATAACTGTTTTTCTCATTAAAACCTGTATGTGTAAAGGAAAATCAAATTTTTTTTTTATATATGATCCTATGTAGCAGATCAAGTTTTTAAAGTTGTTTGGACAAAAATCTGAAGTACAGTTGAACTTGCCTAAGTCAAATGCAAAATGCCATTGAAATATTGTTCGACTTTTGACTTACAGATTGTTAATTAATGGAAAACACAGCAATTTAAACATACATATTTATTATATATATATACATTATATATATAATTTAGCTTTCTATGACAAGTGGTTAACAAGAACAGTGGGTTTTCAACAACTTTCACCAAAAATCAGGGAAAATCAATACTTTCTCCATTTTTACCAGCTTACACCATATTTTTGACTTTCATTATGTTGAACATAAACATGAGTATTGTCATCAGTTTGATACATAATTTAGCTTTCTATGACAAGTGGCCAGCATTTTTGTGAATTTTACCAAAAATAAGAAAGATTTTTATTTTCTCTATTTTTGCCAACTTACACCATGTTTTTGACTAAGACTTACATTATATTAAATATAAACATGATTCTTGACATCAGTGTGGTACATAATTAAGTTATTTATAACAAGTGGTTTACGAGATAGCATATTTTGTGATTTTTTTTACCAAAAATAAGTGAAAATTACTATTTTTTTCTTTATACCAAAAATGAGTAAAAATAACTGTTTTTCTCATTAAAACCTGTATGTGTAAAGGAAAATCAAATTTTTTTAATATATATGATCCTATGTAGTAGATCTAGTTTTTAAAGTTGTTTGGACAAAAATCTGAAGTACAGTTGAACTTGCCTAAGTCGAATGCAAAATGCCATTGAAATATTGTTCGACTTTTGACTTACAGATTCTTAATTAATGGAAAACACAGCAATTTCGCATGTAAAATAAGATCGAGAAAACAGTCGACTTAGGCAAGTTTAACTGTATTTGTAATTAACATATTGGTAATTAATCAAAATAGAAGTATCAAATATTAACAAAAAATGGTAAAAAATATTAATATTTTGGAAAATAATCATCAAAATCACTTTTAATAGTAAATATTTAGTATGATCCATCAGCTTTAAAATGAGCCTAATTCCAATAATTTTGATGCATGTTATCAAATGCTATGCCCTAAAATATAGACATTGGTCAAATTTGGTATATATATATATATATATATATATATATATATATACTGTGTGAGGTACTTAGAATTGGTAGTTCCTATCATCTCTTTTTTGGGTTTTATAGATAATTTTTCTTATTTATTTGTTAGAACAGATTTTATTTACAACTGATACTTTTTTATGTCCTTGTGTGTTTCTAAGATTTCAATATATTTATAATTTAGACTTTAGTCTAGTATCACTTCCATTCTGTTTCTTCTGAATTATACACAATATCTTTTGTTTTCTATCAATGAGTATGAGATTGTTTTGTTTTTTTTTGCACCAGCCTTTAAAATTACCAAGTATCTAGTTTCTTCCACTACATGAATTTCTGGTACTTATCTGCTATACTTTTTATTTTAATGAAGGCCTAATATTATATTATATTATACTTTATATTTTGATTTGTCATCTCTTTGAATTAATATTTATTTATTGGATACATTCTTATGTTCAGGGATGTATATATAAATCTGTTTTGTTTTGTGAAATAAAATATACTTTGATACTTTGATAATTTTAAAAACTATACTTGCCTATAAGAATGGCAGCAATGTGGATATAAAGGTATGTTACCATGTCAAAAGAAATATTCAAAACATTTGGTAATTTTATGCAAAACCTTTGAGTTACTTCATAAAATGGAATGGCAGTCCAAAGGGTTAAAACTGAAAAATTAGAACACAATAAAAGCACATAAATAAATGGAAAGATATACATTTCAAAGTATGCATGGTTTTAGGTTTGGTGCATTTTTTGCCCAACATAGTTCTCACGATAATATAGACACCTTGTACGTTTAACTCTTTCTAGATGTAAGGCATCATTTTTAGTGTGGAATGTCACATAGAGACTCAATTCTATTATGATCACCTCAGGGCTCTGCTGCCCTTAACACAATATTTTTTTTTCAAATTACCTAATAGCTTTCTGACAAATTAGTGAAAGTTTAAAAATAATGATAGAGAGGTCTTAATTGGAGGTCACTGTACACTGCATACATTCGCTACCGGTAGTAAAGAAAGCAGAAAAAAAAATTCATTAAAAAAATATTCTTTCATTCGTATTCAGGAGATAGCAAATACTGTGACACCACTTGTCAGTTCAAAAAACTGAATGTGACAGAGGTAAAAAACTACTTTTTAAATACATAGTGTTGTTTTTATTATTCTAGCTTGTCATAATATTACTCTTGAAAATTTTTAAATTACTGTCACTAATTGTCAATGACATTAATACAATCACTACAAACAACACTTTTCATACAAACCAACATCATTATATCCCAGCTTGTACTGTTGATGGGTTGTAATGTGAGCAGTTTAAGCAATTACAGTTCACCCTTCAATTTGAAACCACTGTTTAGACCTGAACTTTTGAGGTGGTTTCAGGGTTTAGTCTCCAATTAGAAAGTATAAAACTATTAAAGACTGTCATTCAGTTCTTGAAATAAAGTGGTTTTGAATTAAAGGGGTCTTAGAAATAGAGGGGTCTCAAATTGCAATGTATTTGATGGCTATAACAAAAATAATATAATGTGCTTGAATATCATTAATAATGATGGTAACAGCAAGCCATTATGTCCGAGATAAAAAAAAAATTATCACTATCAACCCACCATCACTATCATCACACACCATCTTTCATCACCCTTGCAAATCAGAAATCTGTCCATCAGCAGTCTTTATTATAAGTAGAGACTCACTTTCAGACAATAATCCTGCAGGATATAATGGAATCCATAATGTGTAGCGAAGCCAGGATATTACTACACTTTCTTGACCAATACTAGTCAGCATATAAAAAGGATACCTTGTAAATACGAAAAAGAATTGTATTTGTTATAAAATAAAAAATTGCCAGATCGATCAAATCAAATTATTCACTAAAAAGAGAAGATAAGTGATAAAGCAATAAATTATATTCTTTGTAAACTATACACTAGATGAGCATATTTCAATTAGGTAGCATAACGATTTAAAAAATACTTGAGAGCCAATGACCCAAAGTCAATTTTGACATACATTATTTTAACCTTGGGCATTTCTATCATATGGTTTACAACAATAATTGCTTATTATTTTACTTTTGCTGTTAGATGGGAAAAAATATTATGTAAATGCTTTTTCTTACCTCACCAATTCAATTGAACTCCAGACAAGAAACAAATAGCACACAATTGGCTCACTCTCAATTCTTGCTTCATTTCTGATGACAGCAAAGAGCACCACATTTCTACCGGTAACCTAAAATTGTATTCATAATATCAGAAGCCCTGCTCAAAATGTGGTGAGGCAAGCCAAACCAGTCGCTTGTCGGAGACTGTCAACTGGACAAAATCAGTTGACAATAAAAAAAAAATCAAAACTTTTTTATGATTTAAATTACTGTAGCAATAATGCATCTAAGAACCCCTGCTACCTTGACATTTTTTTTTCAATTTCCAACGGTAAAAGAACATTTTTATACAAATTACTCACTGTAAAATGTCAAAAACTTGGACAATTTTGCTTCTTTGTTATGTTCCACGTTTTCGATTCTATGCACGTCTCCATTTTGAAACCTTATTTAGTACCAATGTAAAGGGAATTTTATAAGCTTTCATGTCATTAGTCAATTGTCACGATATATCTTTAATCCAACCAATTAAAATGACTTTAAATAGTGTAAACAATTTTGTTTTTCCTTGACGACGATGCTGAAATAATTTCTGTTATTGGTCAGTCATGTAATGACATAATACTGAGCAGTTACGATTTTATCCCACAATGTAACAGTCAATACAAAACATAGCATCATAGAAGCCAAGCTAGGCCTTTTTGTTTTTATTTTTGTACAATTTTCATCCATTACAAGCACCAAAAAAATCAGTATTCAATTATTTGACAATATTGTGTAATTTCAAAACCTGAACAATGCCAACTTTCCATTTTTAGGCCTAAGTTTCAACTTAGTGTAGACTGCCTATCGAGTATCACTGATCGACTGTTGCTAGGTTAGGTATTCAGCTATGCATAATTTTATTATGAGGGCGCACGAGTGAACAACGATTTCGTCAGTAGCTCCTTCGGAAATCATAGATAATTCCAAAATTAACAGTAATCGGTGATCATTTTGCAAAAATCGTAAGTGATTCTTATTACTTATAATAATATACTGAAAAGCTGACGACCAAACAGGCCAGTATGGGTAAGAAAAAGGAGAAATCAGCTGCTGCAGACTTAGGGCCTGAGTCTGAATCGCCTGAGCCATCGGGAACGGCAGACCAACCAAACGCGGAAACCCTGAGGCGGGAGATTCGGAAGCTTTTGACTAAGATCGACTCGGTACTAAGCAATCAGCACACTATACTTGGGCGTATCGATGTTATAGAAGCTAAACAAGTTGATATGGAAGCATCGCTACAATATTCGAGTGAGTCGATAACCAATCTTGAAAAGAAAGTAGCCGATTATTCCATCGAGCTCAAGGCTGTATCAACGAGCGTTTTAAACGATAAGTCCATCATCGAGGCACTAGAAACTCAAATCAACAAAATCGAACGATATTCTAGAAGTTTTCATTTGAGATTTGGAGGCCTACAGGAGGAATCTAATGAAGACGCTATAAAGAAAATTAAGGATCTTATTGCCAATGAATTAAGAATGCCTGGTATAGATATAGAAAATGCCCATCGTATAGGAAAACCCCGAGCACCCAACGTGAAGCCACGTCATATTATTGCAAAATTCCTTTACCGACCTCAGCGATTCCAGGTGTACATTAAAGCGAAGACGTTACTCAAAAACAGTAATATTTTTGTAACCGAGGATCTTCCTGACGCGGACTTGGTGAAAAAACGAGGCTTAAGGGATGTTATGGCTAAGGCATACAAAGAAGGGAAGAGGCCCCTATTCCGTAATGGGAACCTCTACATTAACGGTCAGCTTTATAAATAAGGGACTCACTTTCATCGTATCATGTATATAATAACTTTGATATGGGAACTGTTCATAGGTATCTGCTATGACGGAGTAAACTATAGTTACTGACATGCCAATTATGATAAACGTATGTATATGCATTTGCTTATTTGTTTGTATATTTTATTTTAATTTATTTAAGGCATCAAAAAAAGTTTTGTTTGCTTAAAACTTAATATAATAATAATTCAAACTTAATGGAAGATGGAATGATACATTCTGATTTTGACAACAGCATCACTGTCACTCCTGCCGAATTTAGCGACGGTTTCAGTTCAATTCTCCCAAATTCACTTTCAGTTTTCCACGCTAATATTAGATCTATTAATAAAAATTTTGAGGAATTCAATACAGTACTTGACTCATTAGGTAATTTTAAAATCATTGGTTTATATGAAATTTGGCAAGTGGAAAATCCCAGTTTATTTGAACTGAATGGATATTCGTTTGAATATAACCGTCGTGAATCTGGCAGGAGTGGCGGGGTTGCTGCTTATATTCACTCTTCATTAAATTACACAATTATTGATCACACTGTGATTAATTCTGAGTCTCTTTGGTTGGATGTGTCAGATAAAAAAGATCATTTTATTGTAGGTATTATTTATAGAAAATATAATTCTAATCTATCTGAGTTTTATAATAGTCTTCTTGATATATTGAGCTCGACAAATATTGATAAAAAACGTTGTATCCTGATTGGTGATTTTAATTTTAATCTTTTAGAAACATTAAGTACTGAATGCGATTCATTTATGTCAAATCTAGCATGCCTTAATATTAATCAACTAATTACCATTCCAACAAGGTACACTGGGCATTCTGAGACATTACTAGATCATATTTACACAATATTCATAACGCTTCTGTCCATCACGGTACTATAATTTGTGAAATTTCCGACCATCTCCCAACGTTTGCTATTTTTGAACACATCAGCATCAGTACGAAAAATAAGTTTGTTTCATTTCGAGACTACAGTCATTTCAACCATGAATTGTTTTTACATAATTTATCAAATATTTCATGGGAAAATGTATATTCTACGTCTGATGTTGATGTAGCTTACGATTATTTCTGTTCAACTTTTATTAATATTTGTAATTCCCCTTGTTCAACGCTCTTTAAAAGGTTTTATAAAAAAGAAACCATGGATTAGTAAAGCAATAAAAAAATCAATTATTAAAAAACATAAATTATACTCTAAAGTTGTTAAATCAAATTTTGAGCCTGCAAAATTCACAAAATATAAAAAATATAGAAATATGTTAACACTAATTATACGATTGGCAAAAAAGAACTACTTTTCTAAACTATTTACAAAAAAAAAAAACAACTCTACTAAAACATGGTCTACCATAAATGAGCTACTTGGGCGTAACATCACAATATATGATCTACCAAACAAAATTTCCATTAAAAGAAATGACAATTGCACAGAAGACGTTACTGATAAGAATGAAATAGTGAATGAATTTAATTATTACTTTACAAATATAGGTTCAAATCTAGCTAACAAAATAAGAAATTCATCGAAACATTTTTCAAATTACTTAAGTCAACCTAATTTAAATTCATTTTTTCTTGAACCAATTTCTGTGTATGAAATTAGTAATATGATCTCTAATTTGGATAAGGGTAAAGCAACTGGCACAGACAATGTACCAGCTAAATTACTGTGTGTTGCAGCACCCTATATCTCAATACCATTATGTTATGTTTTTAACCTTTCATTTACAAATTCAAAGTTCCCAAATGCCCTAAAGATTGCATGTGTAGTTCCTGTATTTAAAAAAGGCCCAAAGGATAACATAGGGAATTACCGCCCGATTTCTATATTACCGGTATTATCCAAAGTTCTTATTTAATGATCGTCTAACTAATTTCCTTGAAAAAGTTAATATATTTTATAAGCATCAATACGGGTTTCGCAAAAAGTACAGCACAAAATTATCGTTAATTAATTTAGTTAATAATCTTTTATTTCAATGTGATAATTCAAAAGTGGCCCTTGGTATTTTTGTTGACTTTAAGAAAGCATTTGACACAATTAATCATGATATTTTAATTTCAAAGTTACAGCATTACGGGGTAAGGGGACCACCTCTATTTTGGATTTCTGATTATCTCAGCAACAGGTTTCAGTTTGTTTCCTCTGGTGGGTGTGTCTCAAATAAATTACATATACATTGTGGTGTTCCTCAGGGATCAGTACTGGGAGTAGTTATGTTTTTAATTTACATAAATGATTTACCAAGCTCTTCAAATTTTTTTGATTTCAGGTTGTTTGCCGACGATACAAACTTATTTAAATCATTTTCCGGGAATATATTAGATCTCAATGAGGTTAATTGTCAGTTTAAAAAAGTCATTGAGTGGTGCAACGCCAATAAATTAACAATAAATGCCGATAAAACTAATTATATAATCTTTCAGTCAAAAAATAAAGTTGTTACAACGTTTGGCTCCATTAGGATTAATACAAGCTTAATTTCTGAATGTAAATCTGTTTATTTTGTTGGCGTTAAACTCGATAAATACCTTAGTTTTAAAGAACATATATCTGATTTAAACAATAAAATAAAAAAGAGAGCTGGTTTTTTATTTAAGTTACGGCACTGTGTCCCTGAGGAAACATCGGTTATGCTTTACAATTCTTTTATTTTACCCAACTTGATTTTTGGTATTGAGGTATGGGGCAGCACCTACGAATCGCATTTAAAACCTTTATTACTCACTCAAAAAATGTGTGCCAGATGTATTACTTTTTCTAAATTTAGGGCTCATTCTGTACCTTTATTTTAAAAACTTAACATTTTAGATGTATTTAAGCTTCATAAATTATATATTTTGAATTTTATATCAGACTTATTTAATAACAGATTACCACATAGTTTATCTGATTATTTTGAAAATATTTGTCATAGTTATGCAACAAGGTTTAATTACGAATATAATTTAGCCATATCAAAATGCCGAACTAATTTAGGTAAATTTAGAATTTCTTATATGGGTGCTAAACTCTGGAATACAATACCTGTTAAATTAAGAGAGACTACCTCGAGGAATGTATTTGTTTCAAAACTGAAAAAATTACTTTATTCCGAGTATGAAGATTGATGCCTATTTATTTATTTTCATTATTTTATTTATATATTTATTTTATTTATTGGGGCGGAGGGGGATAGTTAAGAAAGGGGCCAAGCTCGATTAGACTTGTCTATTTCTTGGCTCGTATTGTATACCATTTGTTTGTTTTTTTGCGTATATACAATAAAGAAATACGTAAACATGCCATGGGACAAAAAATGTCTCCGCGTTGTCAGAATCTCAGCTCGTCGGTAAACTTCTGAACGTGAATTTCTCAAAAACGTGTTTAGGGTTTCTCACAAACGTTGGTATACTTATACTTCTATAACTTTATAACGAAAAAGTCAGATCGTAAATTTTTTATCACAATTACAAAGACAATACCTTGCTGAAAAAGAATAATGTATTATCTCAAAATCTGAATTTTCGACAAGCAATCTGATCCGGGTTGACCACGCCACAAATGATAATAGCTACAATCACTCATTCAGCCATACCACAAAAAAGCACTACTGTATACTGTAAATATTGTTGAAGATATTAATCTGGTTCATAGACATGTTCATTGACTTTAACTTTAGTTTTGAAAGAGTACAGTAAAATCCTATTAATGGTACATCTTCTGGACAAAAAAAAGTTTTCCCAGAAAATGTTTTGGCCATAGAGTTAAAAGACAAAGCCTACTTATCCTTGTTTCGTGGCCAATAAAGTGTACTCTTTAACAGGCGTCTCCTAAAATAGAAGCTCTACAGTATTCACTTTAAAGTATTCACTTTATAATACAAACATCATCTTTACAGTAAACAGCTCTGTTGTTAAACAATTTGCATTCAGGTAGCAGGTTGTTTGACAACATAGCTTTGTAGATGATCCTTAAGGCGGATAAGGTCAGTATAAGGTTTGCAAAAATTGTATCTAATTCTTATTTTGAAAACATAACAAATTTTCTTTCATTACGAAAGACACTTTACTTCAATAATCAAAAATAAAATTTAAAATGAGAATGAAGTGCAATTTCATTGTACAAACCTGTATTAACGGTGCCACTGCACCCGTCTTTACTAAGCCAACAAGCGGATGAATAATTTCTAAGATGGATAAGCACTGGCATAAACTTAACGGGAAAATAACTCCACTGTAGGCTTGCTTCATACCTTGAAAATACAATAAAAGACTTGTATTTAAAGACATTTATTTAGCTCAATCAAAACAGAGTAATCTCTACAGTATTTCTGCAGATGAACAGAACAGTGGTTGATGCAACGTTTGTGGCTCATTCTTTCAACCTTGAGGTTTGTGATTGAAAACCGTCACTGTGCAAATCGTTTGTGTCCTTGGGCAAAACATAACGAAGCTCACCACAGCATCACAACATCGGTGCTGGTTCCAACCACTCCTTGCCCAAGGTTTGGTTGGTTGAACCAAGTCTTCTACGAAAATGACTATAAATGAAGGGTTCAGTGTACATATCAGACTTGTGTGGCCTTTCGCGAACCCACTGCATCTGTAAGAGGAGTAGGCCTAGGGGTTTACAATGGTTCATTTCAGCCCCTGTCATGGAATGATGTGAACATGAAACTACTGTAAGTGCCTCTTTACGAAGGTTAGGTAGTCATGGCCCACATCATTCAGCATAATAACACTGCAAGTTATGGGTTAATCTCTTATGTTAATGTTAACAACATAACAAGTAACATTAGAATTATCAACTGGAGAATAGACATTATTGTCCAGTTAACCAGATTTTTATCTTTAGAGGTAAAATTTTGTTAAATACCGTAGAACCCCTCCTTTGGGACACCCTTATTAAGGGGACACTTTCAACCATGAAAAAAAGCGAAGTATACTGTAACATCAAACACTATGGCCAACCCCTATTCATAAAATACCCCTATTAAGAGGACAATTTTTTGGTCCTGAGGGCGTCCCCTTAATAGAGATTCTGCTGTACATAATTCTAAAGTTCACGTTAATTACAAGATACAAAATGTTTATATTGTCATCAGCAAAATAAAAAGCTATGAGATACATGCAGTAATAATAACAATTAAAATAACCACATGATAAAAACACATTTTATAACATTTATTAATATTTCAAAAGTACTTACCTTGCCCCTTTATCACAAAGTTTACCAGTAAATAGATGAAGATATATGAGAAGCCAATAAACTGTATGAAATTATACAGACAAAGATACATCTTTTTGAAGTCTGCATAGGCTGGAAAAAAATGTAAACAAAAAGTGCAGTCATTATCAAAGCAGTTTAAAGGTTCTTCTTTTTTATGTTATTGTTAACATGTTCGTAAATGTTGGCATTTAGGTCAAATGGAACTAGAAATCTCCTTTTATGCTGCGCAGTAAAAGCATAGCCTCCCCATGTTCTGATTTTTTGATGAGTAGTAGTTTGACACCAATCAGTCTTAGCAAACTTCAGTATTATCATGGTAACAAACAATTTTCTACACCAGTGACAATGACAACAACATAAAGAATATTACAATTTCAAATAAATTAGAATTTCTTATTCGAATTATGATGATGGTACTTAGCGTAAAATTGCTTTAATGAAATATTAAGTATGCAATTAGCATAGTCACACACATACCAAAAACAATAGGCTTGGTATTCTTATTACCATCTTGCATTCCGCACAGTTTGAAACCAATCAGGTTTACCAAACTTTAGTTATAGCGTAAATTTCTTGATTAATGAAATATTAATTATGCAAATAAGCAATCAGCATATTCACACGCATAACAAAAACAAGACTGTTGCTTTATTACCATATTGCATTGTGCGAAGTTTGAAACCAATCAGACTTACCAACCTTTAGTTATCGTGGTAACTAGTCGTGAAATTCGAAAGTTTGACAGTTTGAAACCAATCAGATTTACCAAAGTTTAGTTATAGCATAAATTTCTTGATCAATGAAATATGAATTATACAAATGAGCAATTAGCATATTCACACATGTACCTAAAACAATAGGCTCCAGCTTCTTATAACTATCTTACATACTGCCAAGTTTGAAACTAATCAGACTTACCAAACTTTAGTTATCGTGATAACCTATAATACCTGATTAATAGTGAAATACTCAATCTTCTTTATCAATCTTCTTATTAACATCTTGCATCCTGCTAATTTTGGCACTAATTGAACTTTACCAAACTTCATTTATTGTGTTAACTATCCTAAATTACCTGATTAGTGAAATATTAATTATGCAAATGAACAACTAGCATATTCACACACGTACACAAAACAATAGGCTCCATCTTCTTATTACCATCTTGCATTCTACCAAGTTTGAAACCAATTTACCAAACAACAATGACAACAGCATGAAGACGAAAATGTGCAAAAACAATAGCCTTCCCAGAGCTTCACTTTTTTGGGGAGGCTAATAAACTAATTCGAGAAAAAATAATGTTTTGAATCTAACAGAAAAAAAAAAATGAGACAAAATTTGTTTCACCTCACCTGGTATTATAAGTACAGTAGATGTACTAATAACAGAAAAAAGGTCTTATAAAATCTGGCCACAAGAAAATGTTTTTTTTTTCTGTTAAAACTGCTATATTGTCATGGAGTGGTGGTTTTTGTGTCTATCTCTATGGTTGTTACGGTTCAATATCAATTGAGACAATTTAGAATATGTTCTATCAGTTACAAAGAAATTCAATATGATATCTAAGTTGATTGAAGAGCAGATTGTAGATCATTAATATACATATTAAAAAGAAGAGGACCAAGAAATGAGCCTTGTGGAATGTCAAGCTGAACCTCTAAAGTGGGGACTGAGTTTTGAATGCGTACGACTTAAGAGCATTGATGAAGAAAAGATTGAAACCAGTTTATAGTACGATTACAGTGGTTATTCATATACTCATGGCACTTTGTACCATCCATGTACTTGTCCATCACAATTCACTTAGTAACTTTCTAATAAATGTAGTGGATAGTTGGAGGTATTGTAGGAGCTGATTCCCCTTTTGCTAAAGAGCTTACTGTATATTCCAGCCATCTTGCTCTGTGTAAAATATTCTTGGTTAACTTGGTTATTCGAAGATACAGTATAGGGGCATTCCACAGTATTTTTTCTGTCATGGACAGGACATCTTTGAGAATATAACTAGTTATATCTCAGTAACAATATAGACTAGAAGACTTATAGTATGATCAATGTTTACATGTATGCCTAATGTTACTTACTGGGGGAGAAAAATTGAAAATTTTTTTTTATGATAAAAAATGTAAGTGTCACGGACGGGACAAAATTTGGACATGACTTTAAGAAAGGTTTACATATTCTAATATTTCTCCTCATCTAAAAGAGATACTAAATTATTTTTTGTTTAATAATATCACCAGGTGATTGTTTTACATGCCTAAATGTTTAACAAAAAATCATAAATGTAATTTTATGAAAAAATATGAATTATGTGCTGTCACGGACGGAACATTCCGTAATGTCACGGACGGGACACTTTCATCCAATGAGAGAAAAACCATAATTTTCAATGTAAAAAGGGACAAAAATTACTCCCTGATATCAATGCAACATTTTACGTACTTTGCTACCTTTATTACTCAAATTCAGTAGCAAAGAAACTTGTATTGTGTTAATTCTTTAAGTGTCCCGTCCCTGACAAAATTGTCTTGTCTGTGACTAAAACTGTCCCGTCCGTGACAATTTGTGTTTGAAATATGATATTTTAGGCAGGTTAAACAAACAATTATCTAAAAATTGGTTGATAAGATATTAAGTTATAGTCTCTAGTAGGAGAAAATTGAATATTAAATTTTTCATAGCCATTACTTTCCTATTATGAATGTAAAAAACCTCCTCAAATGTCACGAACGGGACAATTATGAACTTTTATGTGTAATTATGAAATTAATAATAAACAAATTTCAACCAAACACATGATTTTGTAATAGAGGAAATACAAGAAGGTAACTGTATCTGCACCAAAATTTTGTTATCAGATTTACTGTTAAAGAAATATTTAGCATTTTTTAATGTCCCGTCCATGACGCAAAATATACATTTTTAATATTTAATATCAAATAACTCAAAAAATATCCATCAAAAAAATGAAAAAAGTTTTTTTCATCTAACTTTAATATATCTTCTTTGAGAACTAGCCAAAATTTATATTATTAATTGAAAATGAAAATTTAACCCTCACGGACCAAATACTGTGGAATGCCCCTATAACAGATGGTACCAGGAGATTCTATAACTCATAAACCATAGAAATTCATATAGGAATCATCTTGATATATAGGACAGCTTGCTGTCACCGAGCAAAATATTAAAAAGATAATCTAAATATTGAGGTTTTTTCGTAGTATGTTATGGCAAAAAAAGACAATACTGTACAAATAATATATTAGTACGTCTATGCAACTTTCTTTGTAAACCGGGACAGCATGTTAGAAAACGTGAGAAAAAAAATGGCAGGGAGTCAGGTCACTAAAACAGGAGTCTACCAGCCAAAATGGGAGTGTTGGCATGTATGGAAATCTGTTGGATAGTTAAATATATAAATTACATATTAATGAAAATCAAGCTTTTGACATGACATAATTTATTACCATAATAACAAATGAGACATGCATAATTTATTAAACATGTGTACATTGATATATATTTTTTAAACCATAATTATAGAGATTAACACTTTCAGCATATCCTAGAAGGTCGACTGATATTCAGAGGCCCTCTTAAATAAATGAAATAATGTGATGCTTTATCAGAGATGACTAATTACAAAGCTTTGGGAGTGGAGATGGCCTTTAGTCATGAGAAAAAAATCTTTACACAATCAAAGATCAATAATAAAAATTTTTAAAAATCAACTAAAGCCAATACAAATAGAGTATCATATGAGACTCAGGGTATACTAGATTTCCATAATTTTATGAATTCAAATTTTTAAACTTGAACTAAATAATCAGCTAGCTTCTGAAAATATATACATCCAAGAAACAAAATATAAATTTCTAATTTTAAATGATCTCATTACCTTCAGCTTCACATTCAGTTAGCTGCTTCTCAATCTGTTTCAACTGGTCTTTCTCGAATTCAGCCTATAAATATAAATATGAAAAATTATTGCAACTGATTTACAATTTGTTTAAATACAGTACAATTTAACCACAAGATACTGCTGGGTGACATGATGAAAATATTTAACTTGCGTTGGACAGTGACACTGACACAAATAACGACACTATAAAAGTCATGACCCCCTTTGAGCTATACCACACTGTAAGCTTTCTATTCAAGTGTATAGTGATAGACCAAATGGAATAAAGACTGACAACAATAGAAGCAACTAGAATCATTATATATTTTGGAGGCTAACAGATCAATGAAAAAATGTAGTAATAATAATGTAAATATTTTACTTTTCTTCTTAGTTCATCATCTTCAGAATCATCTTCAACTGTCCATTTATCAAAGTCAATCTTTAGCCAGGGTTCTTTGTTCTCTGGCAGTGTCAACTTGGGCCACTGTACACTTGCTCCAACTTTCATTAACACAAAATTTACTTCACGGTCTGTTATTCTATATGCACTTCCCTATGGAAAAATCACACTTTTCAAAAGACTCAAGTTTATTTACAGTATTCATTTATTTTTTCAGAATATTCCTTCAGGTTTAATCATATTCAATTTACAACATACCATAACCTTCAAAAGGAAATACATTTTTTTCAAACACTGAATATTATTATAAGTTGAAAAAGGAAAAAAAAAAATAATTCAGAATGATGATATTGATGAATTGGTAGTTACTGTATAAATGTTTACATTGTGAGGTAACAGGCAATGGTAGGGTAAACTGAAAAGTTGCCAAAGGGTTTGAAGTAAGATTCCAGGTGTACAGTATAAGGGCAGAAGTGCTACTGCTTCAGAGGCAAAAGCAAATTTTCGAAATGAATGCCAAATTCTACATATTGCCATAACATTTTAAATTCATACCGATGGTCCACTATGTACTTCTTCACTACTGTATTCAAATTCCAGTTAATGTGGAAGAGACCATGCCAGAAAAAAACTTTTCAATTTTATGCTGCCGGTCAACTAAAAGTATACATCCTAAAATCCAGTAGAAAATTATTTGTTTCCATGTTGTTAAATTGTTGGACAATGGCAGATTTAGTCTCCTATATTTAATGTTATCAATCTTTGAATTTGGCAACAGCAGAGATAATTAAAAAGAGAAACATCGCACAAATAATAAAATGTGGTGCATCTATATTCAACTTCATGCCACATTATTAAAAAAAATGAATAGAAGAATTTTCTTCATTGCAATAAATGCATGTGTAGAATGTATGACTTACTGTAGTGGTAAGGATGATAATATGCAATTATAGTCATTTTCTGAAAAGACTATAGAAAATGGAAGCTGAAGGAACCATTACTGTATATCCTACAAAAATAGCATGAAACCCATCATTGTATACCATACCTCAGGATCAACTTCCTTTAGAAATTCCAGAGTGAATTGGTAAGAGTTTAAGCCAGCAGCACCAATACCAACACCTGTGTTCAAAACCATTGAAAAAATTTATGAAGGTACAGAATACATTTCACATACTGTACATTATAATAATGATAATAATATATTAATTATAATTTAACAGTAATAAAGTTCATTGACAATAATAATCAAAAGAGAAATAATATGATGACAACAATAATGATACAATAGCATTGAATGGGACAGAGGATGGACAGACACAGCGAGATTGAGTATCTGAAGCAATGCAAGTAAAGTAAGATGGTCTATTCAGATTTTTTAAGATTAAGATTTTTTTGTAATTCCTGAAGCACACTTGAGTGACAAAAAAACTGGCTGTTTAGTTACCATTTTCTTTTTCTTTTCCTACCTTTAAATGTAAGGCTTTTTTTCGTAAGTTGTATCTCTGGATCCTAAAAAGAACAAAAAATACAGTAGTTGGTGAGACAGAGGGGGTTTATATGCACCCTCAGCAAATTATATTCCTTGAACAATACCAATACTATACCTTTCGCAAAATTTTAAATCAGGGTGCTTGGTCAGGATATAATTTCATATTGATGGACATTGAAATCAATAGTGAATGATATAAAGGTCAATTACAGTTTCTACAATGAGTTTAAAGCATTGGGATATTATTACAAAAAATAAGTTCACTGTAGCGTACTTTGTTACGCTTCAATGGCCTTGTGTTTCTGTATAATCAATTGTTTGTTATTTCATAATTCATAAAATTCATATTAAGTTATTAAATTTGAGCATTAATGTCATAAATTTTTGTTTGCAAATTAAGAGTACCCATACCTACACAAATGTAAAGCCTATCAAAAATGAACTTTAGTGTTTCTTGAGAATTAAACTGAAAATAATAAATTTTTGGAACAATTTCTATTGATGTTTACAAAAATTGGATCATGCTTAGTGGGTATTTGTGAGTCTGTAGCATATGCAATCAAAGTTGTGCTTACATTTGGCATCATCAAAACAGATAAGATGAAAATGACTTTAAAAATTAAACAATTGATTACTAATATATATAACTATGGCATTGTAAAATTTCATCTAACCTTGTGCATCAGGCTTGCTGCGCAATATTCATTGTAAGTGCTTGTTTGTTTTTAGGGAAGTATAAGCTTTACAGCCTTTTTCTCAGTGTTTATCCTTTATTTTAATCACACTGCGAGTTAAATTAGTGCATTGCATGCTTTGATTCTATAAATTTATAAAAAAAATTGAGGGCGCTTTCTAGTTGAGGCCTTCTTCCTGAAGATGCTCAGGATTTTCTGTTGAATTCTTGGTGTCTGGTGAAGCTCTTTTTGGTGTTTGCTGTTCATGAATTTTTGTTTGTCTGCCATTTTTTGAACTCTCTACAACTAACTGAAGCCCGAACACGTCAGGTCTACAACCTAGTCCTAGGCCATGTAGATTGACCGCTGGACTGAGACTGCGTCATCAGCCAGGCAGGCTATAAGGCCCTGATATTCAACCCCCTGTCCGCAATCAAAATCCGGCCCGCCAAAAATTTTGATCCAGCCCGCAAAACATTGCTTAAAATAAATCATTTTTTGCCCGATTTTTAGAACAAGTTTTTATGTTTAGAGCAACATCACATAGACACAATAGCAATGTTTACAAGAGGTAGCTTTTTCTGAGTGTAGCTCACTGCATCTAGTGGCATAGGGTACTGGCATGGGGAAGGGTAGACTCATGGGGAAAATGGATTAAGTGGGACACTGATGTAAATGCGATGTTATTTTGTTGCAAACACTGCTTTGAAAACTTATTCTTGAGTCTGAAAGTGCAATTTCCAGAAATGTAGAGGTATCTATGTTAAAAATGTGCTCACCTCAACCCCAACCACTGGTAAGTAAATATTTTTGTGACTATAAAAATTTTGGGTGGCAGGGTAGGTGAACCTGGATTTGTTGTTTTTTTTGTTTTGTTTTTTGGAGGTTTTTTTTCAAAACTCTAAAAGAAATAAGAAGAAAAGAAAATTAAATTCAAATTTAAGTCTGAGAGGACATTTCCGACCATCTAGAGGTGCCATAATCATATTAAATGTTCTTGCCTCAGCCCCAACTATGGTGGGGTGGTATTTTCCCTTATCTGTGAAATTTGTTCCCTGGCCCCTTCTAATTTGAATTCACAGCTATAAAAGAAAATGGAAGTACACAATTTATGCCGGCCTGCCGTTGGTCTCATCGAATCTTCTGATTCGATGAGACCAACAAAGACCACAAGGCTCCCAAGATGTACGGACCCCCTCTCATGTCAGTGTGTGGAGCGGTTACGTCATGCAATTACCAAATTTCCCACTTTCTATCCCAATTCTTGCGTCCACTTATAAAAGATAACGAAACTACATGCGAAAGCACAAAAGAATTTAACTCTCTAAAATCAGAGAATGTAATCAGTGAACAAAACATAGAAGGATGCGTAATTGGGAGCATGGATGTTGAGGCGTTGTACCAGCCTATTGACATTGAGTTCGCTGTAGATAGATGTGGAGATCCCATTGAAGAGAGTGACGTCGCGTTTGGGGGTGTCGATTCTTACGAATTAGGTCTGCTCCTCAAACATGTTGAGTATGACTCTAAAGAAAGTATCCCAGAGTGTCTTAAAGATTTTTGCCCTACACGCACTAAGGGAGGTAGATACCCTACTATCACAGGTTCTGGGTCCAACCCAAATAAGAATATCAGATGGGGTACGTGGATTCAACCCACTATAAAATACATAATGATAGAGACGTTAAGAAAATGATAATCTAAGCACTAAAATATTCTATGAAAGTAACTTTAACCACACACATATTTATTTTTAAAGACCGTCTATACAAGCAAACTAAAGGAGGAGCTATAGGAAACTGCCTGCTGGCGATGTAGCTACATTATTCTTGGTCTGGTGGGATAAACAGTTTAGGCTTCAGCTACACAAGGAACACATCACATATACCAGGTATGTTGATGATATAAACTTCGATGTGAGAGATAATAATACAGTACTTGCAATATAGAGATAGACCGGGAAACATATACAATGAATGCTATTAAAGAAATAGCGAACTCTATACATCCCAGCGCCAAGATCATGGTTGACTATCCTCAACTACATATAACCAAACGTTTACCCATCCTCGACCTTAACGTATGGATACAGATTGTTAATAAAAACGGAAGACCTACACGTCAAATTTTACATGCACATTACTCTAAACCCATCGCTAGTAAGCTCCTAATTAACAAAAACTCAGCTTTACCAATGAAAACGAAACTTCAAATACTAGTAGCAGACCTCATCCGTGTTATGAAAAACAACTCTGAGCACATTGAGGCGAAAGAACGTAACCCACACATACAACACTTTATTGACAGAATGCAATATAGCGGATACAGCTGTACTGAAAGAAAACAAGTACACATTAGAGCAACTAATAAATTTAAAAATATGTTAGAAGAAGATAGAGAAGGAACAACCCCGAGACAGCCCCCCACCCTTTATAGATCGAAAAAATGGAAAATGAATGAAGGAATTAATAAGAGAATGAAACATGAAACATGGTTCGAAAAAGGAGGAAGTAAAGCCGTGATGTTCATCGATGCGACCTCTGGGAGCGACCTTGCGAAAAAAGTGAATATAATACTTAAAACATGCGACCTAAAAGTTAAAGTCATCGAGAGAGCAGGCACTAGCATTCGAAAGGAACTTAAGCGTTCGAACCCCTTCAAGGCCAAACTATGTAAAGATAAATCGTGTATGATATGTAAAACTGGTATGAAAGTAAATTGTAAGGAACGAGAAGTGGTTACGAAATAAGATGCAGAGAATGCAGTGGAAATGAAGCAGGGACATATATAGGAGAAACATCTAGAAGCATAGGAGAAAGGGTAAATGAACACTATAATAAGTACGTAAACAAAGAGAAATGAAGGAGTTAACGGTCAAAATCCTTAGTAAACATGCAGGAAACCTGATGATGCGACAAGTGACGGAGGCTGAGAGAATTAAAATACATAATCCCGGCCTCAATAAAAAAGAAGAGTGGGGGAAGGTGTAGGATACACTCCTAAGTTTAATTATATACCTTGTGGCTATGCATATTAGTGTGGGCGTTTTCTTTATATGTTGACGTTTTTCGTCTATACATTTTATCGAATTCTATCATAGCCTATAATATAAAGGAGCAGTGGTATGATGTCATGAGTAATACTTACCATACTCATGAATAACCACTACTCCGTATAGCGTTACGTAACAGGTTATGCAGAAACGGAGACGAAAAGATTGGTTCAGACAACGATCGGACTATGCCTGAAGAGGGTCCAGACGGACCAAAAATTTGCGTCATATACAGTAAGTGTTGAATGTGTGTATATACACCTATATGCTTATATGTTCTTATGCTGCTGATACTTAGGGTCGAAATGGCTCCATTTCATGTTAAATCTTAAATATTATTATTATTATTATTATTATTATTATTATCAAGAACGATCGAGAATCATAATACAGTATATATCAGATATTCGCACATATAGGCTAATATTTGATTGAGCTGCACGAGTAATCAAAAGTGTTTGAACTTGAGTTACATACTGTGACGATTTTTATTTTTTAGTTAGGTCTGGGAACCTGGTGCATAATTACCTAGGCTTACTATAACTACTAAAAACTATATGCTTTCAGGGGAAAACACAAAGAGGAAGGAAAAGCACGTTTCATCATCAAATGAAACAGGGTGACAGTTATTTTCAAATTAATATAAGAGCTGAGAATAGGCAGCTCTAAAATACTTGATGCCATAAGACCTGGAAAAATGGCAGAGCACCAATGAATGTATAAATGAGGCCTAAGCCTAGTTATTAATATTAATTAGGCATATATAGTAAATATTATCCGGAGGTTCTTGATTGCAAGGCTTAGACCAAGTTAATTAATGCAGAAATGATGATTATTATTATTATTATTATTATTATTATTATTATTATTATTATTATTATTATTCATTATTATTATTCATTTTTATTATTCATTCATTATTATGTTACTAAAACCTACCTTAAGGGGAACTTAGACAATGGAGAAATTAGAGAACAATTAAAAAAAACGACGTAAAGTAGAAATAACACAAAATATATTCCCCTTGGATTAGTTATTAATTATAGGCCTAGTAAATATTATCTGTAGGTTCTTGAATGATTATTATTATTATTATTATTATTAGGACCCTAGGTACATTTAGGCCTAGTTTAGGGGCCTAGGTAGGACTTAGCTCAGCCTGTAGGCCTATAGTTACCCTCTTTCTCTCTAGCCTTTGGTATTACACATACTTATCTACACTTTATAAAAGGGGGTACTAGCTTCTGTTGTTGTAGATATTATACTAACATTTAATAACATACAAGAAGGTCACAGTTATAGTTACACACGTACATCCCATAAATCCGTAAGATTTCAGGCCTACCGTAGGTGAACTTTAGACAGAGCAATGTAATAGTTAAACTCGAGCGTCACGACATTGCGAAGTGTCTACTCTTGTTCCTCCTATCGAACTTGAGTCGAGTCAATCTGAGATGGCCCGAGTGAAGTTTCATGCAAATGTTTTGTACGGAAAAAAAAATCGCAGCCTGCATACTAACAACGGTTTGTTTGTACTGTATTTGTTTTCTCCAGTAAACGTTGCAAATAGGGACCTAGCTGGTACATGGAGTTATTATTATCAAAATAATTATAACTCCATGGCTGGTATCGGTACTGGTGTTTATTTCATGATTAGTCAGTTCTACATATTGATGTAGGTCTTAGCTTTCGTGGTCTGAGCTTTCGGGACACCCCCAGACTACAGTAGACACAGGCAAAACCAGCCTAGGCCCAGACCTAGAGTTTTGATTAGGCCTGGCCTTACAAAAACTACTGTTAAACCTACAATAAAGGGAGGGAGCATCCTGCCAACATATTTTATGACCAAGGCCTGCTCAGACCTTATAAGAATGATGAACTTGAAATTTCCATTAACAATGCGAAAGCCGATATTGCTGTTATTGCACAGTCATGGATAACTGAGAATATATGCAACTGAGCAATTCATCATTAATAATTTTAATGTTATTATTATAGCTTTCGTGCCAACAGTTGAGGAGAAATTTTGATCTAAGTACATGATAACATTAGCAGAATCCTTGAGTTAATGTCATTGTGCCAGAGGAATTGGAGGTTGCAGGATCCCAATAAAGCACCCACAGCTACCCTTGGTACCATACATTATTGTTGGTGCCATCTATATTTCACCTAACTCACCCCATCAAGATCTACTGATTGCACATCTGACAGAGACATAGACTATCTATGCTTTGTCAAACCACTGACTGGTGTAGGCCTAGTCCTATATTAGGGGATTTGAATCGTACTATAAGTAATAGAAATTATAATAATAGGGACTTTTAGATTGTGTGGACGTGGACCTGGTTCACGTCGACTAGTCATGCGTGTCAACGTAGTCAACTATACCTGTTGACTACAAATGAAAACCTTTTAGATTTCAGTCGACATGTAGCGCGCGCTAGGCAACCTTATTAAGCAGCTGTGTCATGGCGAACCTTCATCGACTTCGCAAAATTGTTGTCTTTGCATATTCTACAGGTGTCTTGGACAATGAAGAATTCATGTTTTTATACAATACAAATAAACCCAAAAATGCCAAATTCAGGTACCGAGATTATCACAAATTTGATCTAGACAAGTACAACAATGATGAATGTAATGCATACTTCAGGGCGCATCCGGTGCGTCAACTGCGATGATGCAGATAGTTAACAGGCCTCCCCGGCCAGCTGCGCTCGCTGCGGTGCAAGTTTGCATTGCATGCACACTGGCGTAAGCACGCTCATGAATTTCCACAGCCTTTTTTGTGTTTACGAAGGCAGTAGAAATTACATAACTGCCTGTGCATTAAAAAGCAAATAATACAGATTAATTCAACACAAGTTAGAAACTTCCCTCAGACTCTGTCTCTGCCTCAGTTGGACGAAATAGTGAAAGCAGCGTTGTCACTATATTTTCATCTTCCATCTTTAAACTTCACAAGATTTAGGACGAAGGGAAAAATGAGGTGAACACGTTCTCGATTTTGGTAGGGGACGAGGGAGACGACGTAACGCATGCGCAGTGCCTTAAAATGACCTCATCACGTAGCAGTCCACTATGTCGACGTGCAAATCTAAAAGTCCCTACTGTAAGACCAGTTTGTTTGGGTAATGGACTGACCCAGGTGGTTGACTCTCTAACCTGAGAGAATGCTACTGGACCTGATCATTTCAGACTCTGCTGAATTATATAATAAACCTTCGCATGACCCAGTCAATTCGAGCGAATGTCAGTTCAAGCGGATGTCAGTTTGAGCGGATGTCAGTTCGATCGGATGTCAGTTCGAGGGGATGCCAGTTCGAGCGGATGAATTTAGTGCGAACTACAACAAGGTCGAATTTATGGTCGCCCTATTTTTTTATTTGTTAAAGTTCTGAAATGTTTTTGGTACTTTTTGATAATTATTCCTGTTTGAATTACAGTACAGTCTTGGCAAATCCGACTAAAAGATGGCCGCTAGAAAGCACTTAGGCCCTATATTTTAAAACTATAGAATTTCGCATGTAGAATTCACAGTTTTTGTCTCCAGTGTTGTATATAGTGTTGTAACTGTATTTGTAGATTTACGATTTAGGCATATTTGTAAATGGGAGTAAATGTAAATGTAATTTTTATTCACCATAGAAATTTAAATTATTTTTACGTATATGGTATCAGAAGGTGCACAAATCATTAGTAGTGTGACACAGGGGCGGATCCAGTGAAGTGTAGGGGGAAACAGGGAGGCACATGCACCCCCCCCCCTCGTCTTGCCACTAAATTTTTAAAATGTCAATGCATATTAATGTTATGTGCTACTCACTTTAACTATTCTGAAACTGTTGTGCCCCGACCCCGCCGTTTGAAAAATTCGGGATTCTCCTGTGACAAGACTATCAACAACACAGTAATAGACATCATACCAATTTTCTCCACTATTCAACCATTCGTCTACATAGTTCAAAACCCACTTTTTTTTTTTAAACTTAGCATGTGGAAAGATTAACAATGACTAAACATTATTTTTATAGGTATGCTTAATTGTAAAAACTGTTAACCTTAAATCAATTAAATACAACTCTTTTATACATAAGGCTATAGGCTTCTTCCTCGGAACCCACCAGGGCTTTTTCCCTGGCTCCAGTGGCGTATCTAAAATGTCTTGAAATGGGGGTGCAGATTGGGGGTGTGAAGGTGAAGTAGGGGGTTCAATGATCAGTTGAGGGGTGCTAACTCGCAAATAAGGTGATTTTAGGTTATTTTTAACATATTTACAATTGTTTTCTTTTTTGGGGGGGGGGGCCCGACTGGTGGGGGGTGCGGGGAGTAATTTTTTAGGGGGGGTTCGCCTTACACCCCTACCCGCACCCCTACTAGATACGCCAGTGCCGGGTTCCTAGGCAAAGCCTCAGCCTCAGCCGAATGCAGATTGTTAGCTCAAAATAGGAAATTTTAAAGTAATTCGTACATAACTCGCACAGGCTGTTGTTCGGACAAGTGAATCTTTTCTCCGCTCGAACTAGCATCCGCTCGAATACGCTCGAACTGGCATTCGCTCGAAGTGGCATCCGCTCGAATTGACTGGATGGATCCCGCCTCCTAGACCTACCTAGTCTTACGAGGCCTAGGCCTAGGGCAGGTTAGTGAGGCCATAATGTGGAATTACTACATTTATCAGTGCAACAAAACGTGAATGTATGATTATTGATTTAATTTCCAACCTTAACATCCTTCAAATCGACTCTTAACGTAATAGTTTCTGCCTTTTGTGCCCAGTACACGATCGGATGCAAGGGAGCCGCCATGTTAAAATCTCAAGAATAAAGAAACGCCATCTATCGGCAGTTTGGATCACCGCGCATCCGTCGTCGTCGTCGTCGTCGTTTTGTGATGACCTCGAAAGTCAATAAACGAAATATGAGAGGGGAATGCATTGCACAGCACATTTTATCAAATAAAATGGTCCAGATCGGTAAAAAAGTGTTCAATGCTGCGAGAAGTGGTAAGCCTATTACCCTAGCTGCTCTATTGTATGGAAAATCAGACGACGAAGTTTCACAAATTTTAACGGAAGTGCATCAGTACGGTCAACAAAAGTGTACAGCCTTGGTGATCGCAGCCCTACATGGAAACACAAATGTGGTTAAATTGCTGCTTGACCAGTACCACGTTGATATAGAACAGACAGGAACTGTCCAATTTTGTGGATTTGTAATTGAAGGTGCCACGGCACTCTGGACAGCCTCGGGAGCAGGGCGATATGAAGTTGTCACCATGTTGATAGAGAGGGGTGCAGACGTCAACCATGCAACTAGCACCAACTCTACACCACTTAGAGCTGCCTGCTTTGATGGCCGTCTGGACATTGTCAAGTACCTGGTTGAACATGATGCTGATATTCACAAGCCAAATAAATACAATAACACATGTTTGATGATAGCTTGTTATCGAGGGCACCTCACTGTAGCATCATACTTACTGGAGCACAATGCAGATGCCACTGCAGTAGCTCATTGTGGTGCCACTGCTCTGCACTTTACAGCTGAAACAGGTCATCTAGAAATCGTAAAGGAGCTGGTAAAGTTCAGTGCCCAAATGATTCCTAATGACCACGGGATGACACCACTGATGGTGGCCTGTGAAAACAACCAGGCTGAAGTGGCTGAATATATTATGACATTAGATTCATGTTCTAAGGCAGAACGTATTGAAGCTTTAGAATTGCTTGGAGCATCGTATGCAAACGACAAAGATAATTATGATGTTGCAAAGACTTACCACTATTTGTACTTGGCGTTACTAGAAAGGACATGTGATCCAAATAATTTATTTTTAAAACATATACAGACACCAATAAGTGCTTATGGCTACCAAAAGGAAGCTCAAACATTGGAGGAATTAAAGTCACTTAAATTTGACACTGATAAGTTGCACATGGAAGCATTGATTGTGCGAGAAAGGATATTAGGAAAACAGTGCCCAGAATTATTACACCCTATTGTCTACCGTGGGGCAGTTGCTGCTGATAATATGCAGTTCAGTATGTGTTTATCCTTATGGAAGCATGCCCTTAACATAAGGCAAGGTTTAAATCGGTCAACTTATAAAGACTTGTTGAGATTTGCGCAGGTATTCTCTCAAATGCTGCATATTGGAATGCAAGTGAATTTCTCGGAATTACATAACATTCTAAAGTCTGCAGTTTGTGAAATGGAATCATCACAAGAGAAATTAAATAAATGTGCAGATAAATTTCACCGTGCCATTCATGATTCCTGCATTTACACATGTTTGTACCTTCTAGCCGGTATCACTCATAAAGCTGTGGCTAAAACCAATGAACAAGAAGTCCTGTATAAAAAAGAGGTCTATCAGTTTTTAAGGCTAGACCCCCGCACTGAGGATGGTTCAACACCTTTGCACCTAGTTGTGAACTACCTCACACCTGTAGATGATTTCCATACTAACTATGTTTGTAAAATTCCCAGTGCAAATCTTACTATGGTACTTCTTCAGTGTGGAGCTGATCCAAATGCTATTGATAAGGATGGAAACACGCCCCTACATCTCATTGTAAAATATAACAAGCCAATTAGTGACTTTCTAAACTTGCATGCAATAATTGTTCTTCTGATGGAGGCTAATTGTCATGTTGACCAGGTGAATTTCAAGGGTGACACAGCCCTGAAAACATCGACTACAGGTGTTGCAGAAATAATTTTAAAGGCCCAGACAAAGCCTGACTTAAAGTGTGCAGCTGCTCGAATAATTTGTAAATATAATATACCTTATAAAGGTTCTGTGCCTAAAAGTTTAGAGTGTTTTATTGAACTGCACAAAGCTAAAATAGATAACCTAAGAATAAATGAAGCCGATTGAAAATAACATTAGCTTTTACCTACTGTATGCTACTGCACCCAATAGTGCAGTGGGTCCAAACCCATTACAGTAGATTTCTGCGAAATTGGGGTCCGCCAAGTCAAAGCTGTCCACAGGGGGTCCGCAACAATGTTGGGGGTCCCCTAGATTATTAGAACAACTTTTTCATTATTCCACTATTTTTTCTTGTATTACAATAATGTGATCATGCCTTGACAATAATGAAATACAGTACCTTTACAGGCATTACTTTGTTCACTGTAAATTGTTTTAATTGGCATTATATTTTAATTCCAATATTTTATAGGTGATCTGATAGAATCATTTAAATTATTTTTTTTTATGTATTTTCTATGAAGGTGTTTAGTATACTGCAGGAGAGCCACTTACTGTAATAGTGGCAATCCTTAGGTAATGTAGTTTTGTTTCCATGTTTTCTCTTGTATTGCTTTTAACTGGTTATCGAATAAATTTTAAAAATTCAGGAGGGAGCCCTAAGTTTGACAAAATTAAATGTACAGTAAATGGGGATAACAGAATATTAATTCAAATTTCATTTCCAGCAATCTACAAGTTCCATAAACATTAAAATATCCTCAGCCCCAACCAGGGTGGGGCTAAGGTAGCGTAAATCCCCTATTTATAAAATTTACTGTCTGTACAGTACCTCTCCATAATCTTATTGGCAGGATATCAACCATGAGTTGCCTACTGTACATTAAAAATTAAATGGGGGATGGGGATAAAATATAGATTACCTTCAAATTTTGAGTCTGACAGTGCCATTTCCAGCCATCTACTGTAGAAGTGGCATAGACATAAAAAAAAAAAGGTGTGCCCCAAACATGGTGGGGCTGAGATGGTTTTTATTTTGAATTCCCGGATCCACTACTGTTCATACATTCGTGGCGAATCATCTTCTATCTGTAGGCATAGCCTTATTGTTGGGATATGGACAATGGGTACTATTCAGACATTGGGGTCCATAAGATTTTGGCATATCCAGAGAGGTCCACAAACGCAAAAAGGTTGAGAACCACTGCACTAGTGGATGGATGTTTTGATGTTTTCTATAAGTTTTGTTATCTTCCTTAAGCTACTAAAGTGATGTAATATACAAGAGTAACATCTGCAGCCAGTCAGATCAAAATTTGCTCTAGAGACAACTGAGTGTGCACAACCAGTTGCGGACTTACAGGGGGTGAATAGGGTGGCTATCTACTGTACCACCCTCTCAAAACAAAAATCCCAAATTTTAGAGCTCTAAAGTTAGGGCTAGGCTAGGTTAGCAAGGCCTTGGTAATAACATGATGCAGACCTGTCTACCTTTTTTATTGTCAACATTCATTTTATTTATTTAAATATTTATTTATTTAATACCATATTTCAAGAGGGTGACCATCCAGCAATGCTGATTATTAGGGGCCCTCATACAATACAAGAATAAAAACAAGAGTCACTTAATTTCACAAATTTATAAAATTCAGATATAAAAGATAATTTGTAAAAATTTGATAATACATTAATTAAAGACGTCCGTGTAAAAAGTCATACAGAATAATTCTTGACTTGAACAGTGAATGGAAAGGGAAAGTTTGGCACCCACAGATAGACACGGAGTACAAGACTTTAGTTAAAAGAAACTAAAGTCCTGTAATGTAGGAATTATTCACCATTTTGTCGGAAATTATTATTATACTATTGGTACTGAACATTATTTTTATGCATTCAGATGGAATGCTAAAGTTAATTAAATTTTTAAAATTTAGTTTTAAAGGCATTCAATTTTTAATTTTCATATACTGACAGTAGATGTAAATGGTCGGAAACTGATACATTAAAGGTAAAAATATCCTTTTATCCTCTGTCCTTTTTGTAAGATATGATCAAATACAGTAAGTACTTCAGTGCTATGGCCTGTCCAAATACAAAAAGGGCATACAACAAGATGTGTAGGTGTAATTCCTATGTAGATTCAAACTACTGTATTGGTGTTTCATTTATATAAATATTTGTTTAACTGCCCAACATGCACTTAATTTTTATTCACAATAAATACAGTGTGTATAATTTTTAAAATTGCTGATATCATTTTAATGTAAAGGTGGTTGTTTATTTTTTATGTTCGATACATCAATGTTATAGGCCTTTCTAAAATGCAGAAGGTCAACTTAAACTATAAAGTCAAGATATGCTTTAGAAATGCATTGTGTTTGTATTTAATGCCTCTTTCCTTTGGTTAATCGCAGCACTACTTGTGTCCCTACAAATGGCCATATTTCAGTAAACAATAAATTTGGAGTGAGCGAGTAGAGTTGGCGAAGTTTGTTTTATTTATAGGTTGTGGGCATAGGTGTATGTAATACAATACGGGGATGAAAGTTAATTAAGCCAGAATGAAAGAAGAAAAAAATCTTATTTTTAAGGAGGAGGGGACACCTCTCCCAAACCTGCCCCCTTCTCTGTGCTTTGCACCTTGATGGCCACTTTCATCCCCCTCCTCTCAATAAATTATAGATTTGCCACTGAAACCTCTTTGTGACACCCTTATGAAGGGGGGAATTTCTCTGAAAACAAGTTATCTATTACGTTTATCCCCGAATAAGGGGATGCAGAGACTTCCTGAGTTATATAATTAGTAAAATGGTCAATATACACCTATTCAACTCCCATTAAATAATGGAACACTTTTTTAATAATTTGAAACAATAGACTCAAAATAATGTATTATTTTAGTTAGCCATTCTGCTGCTCTTCGTGTAAACCAATCTTGTTGACTGTGGCCATAGGAAAGCTTTGACCCAGTCCCATTAAAAATTGTTCTTTCATATCTGTGACCTTATACCCTGACAGTATCAGTCATTATTACTAGCTTGTGCATTCAATATCATTATTGTAAAACAAGAATACTGTTGGTAACCATTGAAAACACTTTACAGATTAAATGGATAGAATGGGTGCTATCATTATATAATTGCTGCTACACTTTTATGAAGTGTTGCTTGGGTTGCTCAGGCCTGTAGCTTAGCTGTTGAATTTCACTTCCTGCCCCAAAAGATCAATGTATTAAATTTAAAAATAACAAATGAGCAACAAACAGTATATAGGCCTAATGTAACTACACTACTTGCACACTCTCATGAGTAATCAATATTCTGACCCTGAAACCTAGAATCAGAATGGTGTCTGTGGATAAAGTTTTTACTCATAGGTTGTGTATGTATTTCAATCTGTGATGTTTTAGTCTAGTTTGTGAATACCTACAGTATCCAGATACAGTATTAGATATTTTGTAAATATAAACCATGTACATATTCCAGTCATCAAGATGTGACCGAGTATACTCTCGGGATCGTGCCATTATTCCACCATCTTCCTAGGGTGGCATACTTCTGAGTTCTCTTTTCATGAAAATCAGTTTACCACTGTCAAAGAAACAAAGTGTTTATATCCAATTTCGTTATAAATGCTTGCTATTTTTTTAGCAATTTCACAAACTATTGCTTGGCATATTAAATTTGAATATCTTACTATAAAAAACCGTTAGGATATGCACTGAGTTTAAGTACAAATACAGTAGTATTTCATGAATGTTCCTCCAAAATGTAATGATGAGTATGTTGGTAAAACAGAAAGATGTCTCCTCACAAGAATTAATGAACATTGCAAAGGAAAAGATAGCATCATACATGAATATTTATCTATTTCTGTGGTGGTTTTAAACACACCTAATGGGCGTCTCAAAACTAACTAGTAATTTATGAGACTTAATCATGTCAACATGAATTATGTAATTCAGATACGCTATGGACAGTTTTTAATTAAACACTACCATCATTGATTCTTGTAATAATAATATAATTTACTACTACTACTACTAAAAGAAGCCTATGCTATACATGTAAGCAAGCCAAGATTAAATAGTGGCTTAAAAGCATCTAAAGAGTTAAATTTGTTTCTCCAGTTAGGTTATTGATTATTTATTTTATTTCCTGTCTATATTTTTATTACACCTGATTCTCGCTCTGATACGGTAACTTGCCCTAATCTAATCGTTGATCTTTGTCTTAGAACTGTTTATTCTCAATATACTTTCTGACCATGATACCACTTCACTCTGATTGGATTTTGCTTCATTTAAATCAGTAATTGCATATTAATTAGGATATCTAGTAACTGATACTGTATATTTTGTATTATATGTATTATTCCTGATGATGCTTAAATAAAAGAGAAACTTTTTGCTTATTAATCAGGATATCTAGTAACTGATACTGTATATAGTTTGTATTATATGTATTATTCCTGATGATGCTTAAATAAAAGAGAAACTTTAAATAAAATGGCCTTGTCAATTTTTTGAGTGACATTTCTACTCTCAAAAGTAAAGGAAAAACAAAAGGTGTGTAGATTGGTTTTAATATATATTGTATTCCCATTTAACATTTAGACAAAAGAACCAGGTCCTAGGTATTTATGTAGAATATGATAGACGAACATGTGGAAGGGAACTGGTGTATAACGCAATGTATTATAGACGTACCTGCACATATTTTCCAAAGTGGAAAAAAGTTATATGATTTCCGTCGGTAAATATACGAGATTTGAAAAGAACAACGCTAATTTTAAAAGGAGGTAGTCTAAATATGTTGGAATTTTAAGTTATTTGTGTTTTTGTTTTAATTAATTCCAGATCCAGAGAAATGGAAATGCATCCCCAAACATGTATGCACTCCAATTGAACTTCAAAATAAATATAAACCAATAAAATATATAGATATACTGTATACTATTATAATAATAGAATTTGTAGCACCTCAAGAACTCATTCCTATTCCAATTTATAAAAAAAAATATAAAGGCAAATATTTTTTTATTGTATTACATGAAGAATTAATCTTGATGAACAACCGTATACTCAATAAAGCTACAACACTATCAAGTTGGATCATATCTAAAATACTCCTTTATTCAGTTTTGAATTTATATGGTTACTCTTCGAATCCAGTTGGCTATCAATGCTTTACAATGTATTTTAACGTCACACTGTATGCACAGGATTCGAGGCTACCTACAAGCATATTTTATTATGCTAATACGAAACGATAATTAAATCTATTCCTGAGAAAGATTAAAATTTAATAAACCTAAATAACGTGTGTGTAAGGGGTGTTTAGAAAACTTAGATCTAGAAAACCCAGACCTCAGATATTAGTTCTCTGATCTGAGTTTTCTAGTTTTAGAAAGCTCGATATCGAACTAGAAAACTCAGATCATTTAATTAACAAACCATTATTTTTTTACAGGGAAATTTTAACTAAAAACACATTTATAAGTACAAAGGGTTAATAATACCTAAATTGTCGGAGTCCATGAATCCTATTAAAATACTCAATGACCTTTTTACATGTTAGACATAATAGTGCTACAAATTCATATTCATGCAATCAGATTATACAGCCCATTTTCCCTAATAACCATACTAAAGGCCTATATAATTGTATTAGACGATACAGTGATCGACTCGTGCCATATACCTGTATATAAATATTACAATACATAACTGTACACATTTCAATGAACAAATTATACAGCACACCTTTCCGTGTAGCAAGTCTATTATATATTGGACCATTTTTATTGGCAACTTCACGCCGGATATGATAGGCCTACTCTCTTTGATTTTTATTCTTATTCCTAATTCATTCTTAAATTTTGAGAATTTATTTTCGAGAATTGTTATTTTCAATTCTACCCAGTTTTTTTGTTTTAATACATAGCGGTAATGGTTACATTATTTTTTACATTATATATAATAAGATTATACAGCCCGCTTTCCCTAATAACAGTAGGCCTACTAGTATTATAGGCTACAATTGCATGAAACGATAATGATATCGCCTCATGCAATAGATACAAAACTAGACATATTCCTATAAACAAATTATACAGCACACCTTTCCTTATAGCAAGTCTATATTGGACCACCTCTTATTGGCAACTTCTCACCGTATCCTATCCGGTGAGAAGTTGAATTTTAAAAACAATTAATTTTCGACATTTGTTATTTTCAATGTCAACCAGGTTTTAAAAATGTGTACATAGCAATAGTGATTACCCGATTCGTTACATTGTATTTATCTTAATGCTGTTGATCCTAACAAAATAATTTGATACGATATTTGTATATTTAAAAAAAATTGCAGGGTATATTGTATCTTTTGCAAGAATCCATTGAAGTGTTTACAAGAAGAAAAAAACAAATGTTCTTCGTCCTCTACATATTTCCGTATCGGCAATATTCCTTACAGAATAAGTTTTTGATGGAGAATATTCCTGCGCTATCCCATTATTTGAAATACAGTGGTTTACCTTTGTTTGTTATGTTCAAATTTCCCCAGATGACTTGGTTTCCTATTTCCCTTTTATTTTAGGCACATCAGTTTTTCCTCCCCCTATACGATTCCATGCTACGATAGTTCCCTTATAAAATGGTGGAAGTTTTTAATGAGCTCATTCTTAACATTTTCAAGTGTCATTCGGAAGACTAGATTGCTGTGTACACAAGAGTTGATAAAGCAAGTGATTTAAGTGTAAGGTTATTCCAGAAATATGTTAACTTCCCTTTTTCCCTCTGTCCAGAACGATTTTTAGTTTTTCTATTTTCTTAGGCTAGTTTCTTTCAACACATATTTTGTAGTCATGCATGCATGCACAATTTGCCAATTTAATGCCAGCTGGATTTTTTTTCTTACATTTTAGACGCTCCTTAATTTATGAGGGTGCAATTTCCGGTCACACCCGGAGGTCCTTATTCTCCAAATTTTCTCACCTCAGCCCCAGCCATGGTGCGCCTGAAGTGGTGTGGACTCTCACGAACCCTCTACCACCAAATCCTGCATCCGCCGCAGCAATTTTTGATGCGGGGCCAATTCGCGTTATGGATTGTTCATAAAAGTATCGAAGGCTGGCTGCTTCTTATCTTCTATCTCGAAGATAGACCTTACAAAGGAATTTTGGCAGATTCCGATGAAGGAAGAGTAAACAAATTAACGAACCTTATTACTCTGATGAACTTTTCCAGTTTAAGTTAATGCCTTAAAAGTACAATGCCTTGAAAGTACAAAGTTGTTACATTCATGACATTTTAGTATTTCTTAGCCTACATGGGAAGAACACATTATGAAGTTAGGCCGGTTTTTGAATGCATTCCAATTTAACGATCAGTCCAACAAGAAAATGTTTTGATGGGCATGACAATGAGTTTCTACAGTATTTTGTGTTAAATGGAAAATATATTCCCAAGGATTTGAGAGGTTTCTAATATTTAAAATATAGCAATGCCCTGAACTAAAACTCTGTGACGGTCTTTCCTTGGGATGACTAACTATTGATGTAAGTTTGTTCCAGATTATGCCGCAATCGTCGTTCCATTAACAGATAAAGGAAAGAAAGAATGACCCAAACTAACTCGTCTGGGAAGCAAGCAAAATTGTATCAATGTGGACCAACTTTTGCGATTGTTGATATTGCGCACCGATGCATCCGATCTAGCATAGGCCTATGCTAGCCGAAAATTATTACAAAGAAAAGCATACTCAATTATAGAAAAAGAATGCTTAGCTATAATTTTTAATAGAAGCGTTATTTTACATTGCTTTATTACTTTGTGATTAAGAATGTTTCTTTTATTTATTCCTACGTGACGGTACTGGAATTTTTCTTTCATAACTTTTAATAAATTTATTTTCAAATCCTCATTCTTGAAAGTGAAATTCTATATTTTGGAAATTTTGCATGAAATCTGTCAACCATGCTGTCATGGTCGAGGTTGCTTCACCTATCACGATGTATTCCAACCATCAGGAGGCTATCTAAATGAGCATTTGTCATAACAGAACGTAAATTATTTCTAATTAGTCTCATTTAATTATTATTATTATTATTATTATTATTATTATTATTATTATTATTATTTATTATTATTATTAGTATTATTATTGTTATTATTGTTATTGATTGTTGTTGTGATGAAAAATTAACACAAACAGTATGGTGGCTAAACGAATATTACATGTAAATATTTTTTTTTCCCCGACAAAATTTATCGTCTTCCCCGACGGTGTGTATAAGAGACAGGGGCTATGCTTCCCAGACGGCGCCACCACTGGGAAGCAAACGGATTAATAGATCTCTCAATCATACTTTATTTGCAGCATAGTTGTTACCTCTGTTCTTACTGTGTCCTTTAACGCGTATGGAATTGGATATGGATTAGGCCTACCTATAGGCAACCTTTGAGGTTAATTCTATCTCTTGCAAACCAAGATTCTTTTTCCCTGACAAATAGGCCCCTATGTTAAAATGTTTTCCTACGAGTTTCGAATTTAATGAAACATTTAAACACGGTGGCTCGCCAGGTCTAGTTACTATACGTAGGAACAAACCCCGGCTTGAGATAAGCCACCTAGTTTAGACTGGCAGGTGGATAAACACGATGAGTTGAGCTGGGTTCCACCTATAGCCTGAACTAGGCCAAAATGATCAATCAGCATTCAAATACGTCGTACGCTGTGAGCGAGCGTACGTTTCGTGAGCAATGTTTTGAAACACGTTTCCTGGTAACGGTTCATTATTATGCACATTCTCGCGCCTGGCTAATCCTGCTAGTGTGAACGTCAGGCAAAGTTAAGCCGGGCTTAACTCAAGCCTGTTATCTCCAAGTCTGAACGTAGCCTAAGTCATTTTAGGGTTAACAGGGGTTAACTATTCGAAAATTCAATCCAAATCAGAGTAATTTTCAGCTTTACGCTGTCTCAGCTTTATAGTCGAACCAGTGAATCTTTAGACAAATACATAATGAACACAGAACTAATTACAACAGAAATTCTTGAAATATACATATTATAATAACATAGTAAAAGTCCGAAAAAATCCAATCGGGGAACATTGTTAATTTTGATATAAAGCCTGTTGTTGCCATACGAAAAAATGTTAATAGGTAGTTTTCGCCGCACGACGTTAACTTTAACGTTAGTACCCAACATGCAACGCGATAACTCCGCCCCTTTTGTAAACAAATCGAAATACGCGTGCGCAAACCATAATAATGTCCGTCGAGCACGTAAAATCCTGAAATTAACGTACTCCGCAAACGCAAGATGAATAAATTATTACGTCATCCGTTAACGTTAAAGCCCCATTCCCGGCAAAATTTCACTAAAAATGATTTTTTTTTTAGAAAATATGCATTTTCATTACTCCAATTATTATAAATCATGGAAAAATATTGGCATGAATTTTAGTTTTACGCAAAAGAATAAAAAAAATGAGAAATACAGACTATTTCTCATAAAAT